CCTCCAGTTTTACAGCTGTAATGTTTTCTAGAAGAGATGAACGGAATGAAATCTCCCCGCTTATCTCTCTTTCAGTCATAAATGCACACAGTTCTCTACAACTCTTGTTTGTCGGTGTCATCACTCATCATAGAGACTGCAGTCATTAATAATACACGACAGGAGTCAGTGCAGAAAACAGAGGGGGGGCTTTGAGTTATAAGGGAGTGCAACAAAGCCACTTGAAAGCATCACATCTTTGTCTGCGGCTCCTTCCTAGTCGTGAATGCTTTGGGTATTTAAACAGAAGGAAGCCTGTCATAGTGGTTGAGGAAAGTAGCTGATATCAATAGCTGCATACCCTGCTTTTAAAAAACAAACAAACGCAACATTAGAACATTTATTAAATAAGCAGATCTGCACCAAAAGTGTGATTGTGCAGAAGATGAAGCACTCTGTGTGACGCAGGAAGCCAACGCACTGATCTAAACATCCCACGTCAGCGCTGTTTAATAACATACGGCAAGCAGAGTGTCAAACAGTTCAAAGGAAATTCGGCAAAGAATTATTATTTTTTTGATGGTGACTGAAAGATGTAGGTCTCCGGTAATACTACCCCCGGCTGCAGCGGCGACATTGAGACGCTCCCTGAATAGCAATTACAGTGCATGCTGGATTTCACTGCCTAGGTCTTCCAAGCAGAGCTGGGGTTTTTTTGATGGGTAAAATCTACAGTAGAGAGTAATTTGTCCTTGATTGCCGGAGTGCAACTGCAAGGATTTAAGTTGAATGTTCAGGATAATCTCATCATTAATTCATATTTCTAATTAATTCAGCGTGCCCTTTAAATACTGTGGGATCGCTTTTTTTGTAGTAAGTTCAGAGAGATTACTGCATTATTAATTCCAGCAGCCATCACCAGGTTTAATAGAGGACTACTACCTCCTGCTACATGTGATCCTTTATGAAAGAACCGGCGAGGACTTGTTTTTTCTTTTTCCCCCGTGTCTACGATGTTGTTTCTATCGGAGGGCATTTCATCACCATTTATTATAAAACAACAGAGCACGCCGTGCTGCCGCCGCAGGCTGACTCACAGAGCCGTAATCAGTTCCTGTCAGTGCTGCATATGTTATATCAAGGTGAGTGTTAAAAACAAACATGTTCCCCAAGAAGGAAGGAAGGTTCACTTCCTTCTGAACGGGGAAGAAAAACAAACTCTTTGAATCCCAATCTGAGGATTTGAAATGACAGGGATGTTTAGTGAGGGCGGATAAATCAGGATGCAAATTGCTACACACCTCATAACATGACAACTATTATGTGCCTTAGAGTGTTTTGTGGGTTCACTGCAGTGTTTGATAAACAGGAAGAGGAAGTGTGTCTGGCTGACGTGGTGAAAGCCATTTCTTCAGAGTGAAACTATGACACTATTAGCAGACGGCAGTCACGAGAGAACGGGAAGAAATTTTGGAATTATAATGCTACCAGTTGCTCATCAGTGTATTGTTCTATGTGTGTCTTCACTCCGCGGGGGTCGATACCGAAGTAAGAGTTCAACCACACACACCATGTGCATGAGCGTGTGCGCGTGTGAGCATCGCTATGGTGGAATTTAGAATGCCGTTTCTGAGCAGCAAGAGCTTAGTTCTTCCAGACATATGCCTTAAAATAGTAAAAGAAAACGTATGCAACAATTTGAATACACTCAAAGCAAAAGTGTTCATTGGCTTTAAAGTCAAACGGAGTGCGCTGCAACTACACTTATCAATGGTGTTATTCTTGTGTCAAATCAATAACAAATATTCCAGGACAGTTGAGGTTTCTCCTCAGTTAAAAAACGATTAAGATTGGTTTGAGGATGAGTGGAGGCCGTCTTTCAATTAAAAGAGACGTAGGAGGTTTCACCATTGATCCAATTTAGAACTACTTATCAGTCCCATTGATCCAATGGCATCAGACAGATAAAAAATCACTCCGCAGATCGATAAACATGACACGTGATTGTCAGCAGGGCGACGAGAGAAAGTGGCAGCTGTTTCCCAGTGGAAAACAAAAGAGGAAATCTGAATCGCGTTTGTTGTTTGAGGCTGAATAGCTGTTTCCATCTATGTGGATACAGGCCTCCAAAGTCGTAGCTAAATAGATATTTTAGCATTATTGAGGAGTGGGGTCATTTTCTCAGGGACTTCTTCACAATCATACTTCCTTTTCCAAACAGTGGAGTTGACTCCTGATGCTCTTTAGAAATACTGCAAGTTTCAGGCCATTTCACATTCACTTTTCAATCGCTGTTTCAAACTTTTAGTATTAGCTGTTTTTCATCAATCTACTTTAAATATTTAGGTTTAGGAAATATACTTTAGTCAAATAGGTCATTGCTCAACTGAGGAAAGTAGATAAACAGTTATCAGATTATTCCAAGTGTTGCTATCAGAGGACCTATAGTTTAGATGTGGAGAAAAAGCCACAACCACATCCTCGCCCTGCTCGTGCCTCTCTGTTACAGGCATAAGAAATTTAAATGCATAACCAATGTCTACTTCGCTCTCTTGCAAATGAGCTGAGTAACAGAGCTGGTGTTTCATTGTTCCTGATGTGCAGGAGGCAACACTGACACTTGTCTGCAGTTCTCATGTGACAAATAACAACCGCCCCAGCACTTCAAAAACAGGCGCCAGAGCACAATTTCTTCTTAGATATTGCATATACGTAGTTATTCGTATACTGTTGCTGTAGTGGATTTCTCGGTGGCTTCTGTTTATGGCACAAAAGCAAGATCGGTCTCTTGGGTAAAACAACAGGTGAAAACAAACAGGTGACATGATATGCATAAAATTATCCTTGACAGACTTTGGTCTCTTGTCTTTTCCTTTAGAAACAGGGTGCTGCACTATATGTTCAAATCTGAAAGAGGAAGAAATACGCTTGTAGCCTCTTTTTTCACAAATTATATTTTTAGACTGTGTGCTGACTGTGCTCACACCATCCCGTTGTCCCGCGTTACATGAAACGAGCGCACCAGGAGCAGCGTTTAACCGGTCACATTCTGAAAATGAAAGAACACTCATTCTCTTTTTTTATACCCCTTCCTACAAATCCCAAAGGGAGAGCGGGGATTTTACACAATGAGCCCATTGTGGTCTATCTACTTCTCTCCTGTGCACCTGAAGGGCAGATGATCCAGTGGTGGTCATGCACAGACCAACACACGATACACACAGTGGAGCAACTGCTGTCTCGTGATGCAGATAAATGAGAGTTAGCTCGCCTGGATTGATCTCTTGCATCATGTGATTTACTCGTTTCCGACCATTAATGTATCCATGTGTGTTTATATCCTTGTAAAGAAACACTAAATAAAACGGAAGCGATGTTTTGCATCCATCTGCAACACTTTTCAGTTTAATTTGACTTCCTCTCATCAGAGTTTATGGGACTCGCTGTCCCGTCTTGTCTGCCTGATTCAGCATGAGTAATATCACTGCTGCTCACTGGGGATTTCTAGAGTGTCCCTCTAAGTTGGAGGCCGTTGCTGAGTCACCGTTTAGAGGAGAATAATGGTGGTTGACAGGGTCTACGGGGGATAGAAAGCACAGACAGCAACCAACCCATGAGTTGATGCTGCTGAAATATGCAGAGTCATCCTGTGTGGTGTCAACACAGCGTCCCTTAAGGCCACACCAGCGTTAAGCTCGCAATAACCCAGTGACTATTCAGACTGCAGGTGATGGAGATAGAAGGAAGTAAGTGGCTATACCTCACAGATGAGTCAAACCCGCAACACTCTCTCATTAAAACAAAATCTTTCAGTAAAATACCAAAATACACACCAGCCAGGTGCATCGGAGGCTCTCCCCTCCCCGCACACGGTCTGTTCTGCTTGCATGAGAATGTCTGTATGTGTACATGCCCTTTAAAAGATCTGTGCGCTGCTGTTGCTCTAAGCAATTGATTTAACAGCCGAGACTGACAGGGGCAGAGCGATAAAACTGATTGAAGTGCACAGTTTACACACAAGGAGATTTGCAGTTAGACGGAACGGATGATCACCGCGAACAGCATGCAGCAGGGAAACACACAGCAGCCGAACATCTGGGGTTTGAGACGGGCGAAGCAGAAATCGGGATTAAAATCAAAATGCAGGGCAAGCAGAAAAAATGAAATGACCTTCTCAGGGTTAATCATATACAAACCAAGAGAGGCAGAAAAAGGGTGTTATTTATCAAATGTAGGCCTATTCACCTCAGTGGAATTCTCTCACAGCTCTGTACAGTCATCTATATGAACACACACACTTCACATGTTGACCAGTATTTGATCGGATGTGATTTTGGTTGACGATGTGCTGCATGGGGCAAAAAAAAAATGGCACCAGCAAGTATACATTTTTTCAGCATGTTGGACATTGCATCATTTTCTTTGGTACAAGGGTACTTAGAGGGAGGCACCATGTCTCACCAATAGCGAGTGTTATGTAAGGTCACTCAAAAGACAAATTCGAAAAGACAATCATGGAAATTGAATTAAAATAAAAACTATAACTTGTATATTGTTTGTGCAATTCTAGAGATTAATGTCCTTTTTAGTGCTGCTTTATTAGACGAACTGTTGGAGGTTCACTGACAGCGTGTCTGTTCTCCATAACGGGGTCGAGGGGCTCTAAACTAACCCGGAGCCTACTGCTATTAATACCGCCATTCCAATAACATTGCACTCAGCACGTTGCACACAGCCACGTATAGTCTGTGGGATATTGGTTCAAATTCCCTCTCCAAATCAACACTACCTGAATGCTTTGGAAACATTTGTACTTTAAAGACAACGAGAAAGCTGAGAGCTCGACAGGCGAGGCGCCATCCGGCCATACGCTCGCGTGCGCAAATCTGATCCTGTCCTCTCACACGTCTCATTTGGCTTCGGACCCCCCCCCCCCCCGCCTCCCCTTTAAGCAGGGATGTGTTTCACCTCGTCAAAACTCTTGCGCGTTGCCCTGGGAGCAAAGCGCGCCTCCGCGGGCTCTGCCGTGTCTCTTTTAGTGCAGCAAGCAGTGCTGTTGGTCCGTGCGGGAGCGCAAGACGCACGGTGCGCCGCGCCGCCACACAGCCTCGCTCTCCACACCGGACGGTTCGACGCGGGAGGAGACGGGGTCGGGCCCTCCGCCCGCATCAATCAATCCCCTTTTTACTGGTCAACCAGCTGACTGCCAGCGAGGGCAACGAGAAGCCGGCCGGCCCTTCTCACCGGGGAGCGCGGAGAACGTCACGGCCGTTTACGCCGCGTTGCCTCCGTCTCCGGCTGGAAGATACGAGCGTGCAGCAGTTTTTTATCTGCGGCTCCGCGGAGCGCGCTGCTGACACAACGCGACACGAGCCAATTAGACCGGCGAACGGAGCGTGGTTACCTGCGGAAAGGTTCGCGCGGGGCGAGCAGGTGACCAGAGAGCGCGGTGCGGCTGGAACATCATGTCACTGCGTGTGGGATCCTCAGCTGAGTTGCGTCTTGTGAACTGCATCAAACCATCTGCCGAAGCCTCCCGTCGCCTCTTGTTTAAGGTAAGGTGAAGCACTGCACATATTGAATGTGTTGAGAACCCAGAAGGGAATATTACATGTAAAGGAGTCCCGTGAAATGTGTCCATAGTGGTGTTACAGAAGTCTCTACCTGGTATCACTGGTATGATAACTGCTGGTTTACTGGTAATCAAATCCCACAATGCCAATAAACCAGTTATCCAAAACAAGTCGTAGTACTGTGACTGTTTTCACATGATCCCTGGCCTTTGGAATCCTTCAGGAAAATAGTTAAAAACCAGCCTGAACAGTTAGAAAGGCCACACGCTCCATAGTTCCACACACCTGAGGGCTGGAGGTCTGACCTGCCCGTACACTACACAGCCAAACACGTCATTCAGTTTATTGGGCTAGCTCATTTGGCTCACAGAGGTTTGTGTGGATATTTCTCAGATATTTGCATGCTGCGAGTGTGACGGACGTGAAGGTGCCTGCTGCATCACGCGGTGTTTTCGGTGCATTCGGTCGAAGCAGGTGCAGCGTTGGTCGCTGGCTCACAGTCTGGACGACTTCCTCTTTCTCCCCAAAGTGTGAAGCCACTACACAGCTGTAGATCATAAACTGGCATCTACACCCATCATTTGTGTCTATAGTTTAAATAACTAATTGGTATTTTCTTTGATTCAAGCATCATCGTTGTCTAGTTGTTTATTAATGAACAGGAGTTGACTTCTGTTTGACCGAGTTTGACTTTTGTTTTTATTGCATTTTCTTTTTTACAGGTTCCAATCATTACAGATTTTAGGAAAGCTGCTTTTCTCTTTCGTAAATTGTAAATCAAAAAAGGGTTAAAAGACAAAGAATATGTAACTATGCAGATCAATTTGATAAAGCAAATAACCATATTTATCCTCAGCTTTACAAGCATTTGCCTTAATGCATTTAAGTAAATTATGTAAATTCAGAAGCCCCCCCCCCCTTGTTTCTGATGACCAGTGTGGGCTGTAGATCATTGTATTGAACCAGCCGCCCAGTGTGAAGTGGAAGAAGAAGAACATAATGGTTGTTGAGATTGATCACTGTGCTAAAATCAATTCGTGAAGGGCCCTAATTGCTCGTGCTGCTGCTATTTCAGCACGTGGCATGAAAGTAAATAGAAAGCAAAGACTGTGACCCGTCTGTCGTTATGGCAGCGCGGCCATAACCTCAGTTCATAACTCCTAAATCTAGACCAAGCAGAACCGATCGATATTGCGAACGTCACTGTGAAATCAAAATCTAAGCTCTGATTCTAATTTAACCTTTCAATTTCGTGAGTCTCTGTCCGACCACATGATGCGGTTTCAGCGGCACTTGGCGGAAATATGTGGACGCTCATTTATAACAAGTTTCTTTGTTGCCAGCAGCAGCTGAGCTGTCCCGTAAGCTCAGTCCCCCGGGGCTCGAGTGAACAGACGTCAGTGGGATATTCCAACAACTGAGAGGCGTATTTGTACGTACGAGAAGGTGTTGTTCCTACTTCTGCTGTTGCTTTAGGGAAACAATCAGGGCCTGCAATCACTTGCATCTATCGGCCCGAGAAGATTTAATCTCCAAATAAAGTGTGTTGAATTTCAAGTGGCTCAGATAGGAAGCTCCTTGTGTAACGGCAGCGGAACCCGAAGGCCTTGAATTCCTTCCGAGCTTATCTCGTCATCCTCCTGGCGACCTTTCGGGGAGGAGTCATGGATCACAGCCAATGACCTGCAGGCTTTGAAGATCGCCAGAGGAACTGACGGGGACCTCACAGTTTGCGAGCCCGTGTTAGCCAACAGTACAGGCAAGCACTGGCGCAGTGTGAGCTGTGTGTAGGTTGAGTTGTCTACTTGTTCCCGATATATCACCATTAAGAAGGAATGTCAAGATCCTCATTAGAGCGCCTACAAAAATAGCTTAGTGTTAAACACTCTGCTGTCATCTCCGAAGACTGGCTCAAACCTCCAGACTGTTTTTAGAGTCTAAAGTTCAAAAACAGACCAGTCGCTTCACACTCAGCGGCTTCACATTCTAGTTTTACTGGGGTGGAACTCCAAGGCTTGAAATAAATGATTTTGTTCTTCCTTGAAAGAAAAGATGAATTTTTTAATGAGGATAATCTTTAAAACCGCGTTGCGCTCAGACAGATCTGAGGTCAGACTAGTTGCATGCGCATTTTAGCCCGATTTTCAGCTTATCAGATTATTTTCAGCACCTCTCCCGGAAGACGGATCCAGATAATCACTGCCCAGACAGTTGGTGAGGAAATACTGTGCTGGAGACGGAACTGAAGGCTAAACTTGAACAGATATCTATGGCTTCATTGACGGATATCAACTCGCAGACACCCAGAATCCAGACGCAACACAGTGTCTGACAACCTAAACAGCCAATTATGTTATTCAACTCAGACCTGCTGTTCAGACTTTCCTCTCAGACAGGCGCCCTGCTGAGGACACGACTGTTGATTAAGCAAACCAAGGCTTATATGAGGGCTTAAATGGTGTGTGTGTGTGTGTGTGTGTGTGTGTGCATGTGTGTGTGTGTGTGTGTGTCTGCGTGTGCATGTGTGCGTGTGTGTGTGTGTGTGTGTGTGTAATGTTGCGGTTGAGTCCGGGTGCAGGTTGTGATCTTCAAACTTCCAACTCCCTTAAGTTTGAGAACTACTAGCAGTCTTGATTCAGTCCATTTATGTAATACAAACTACTTTGATCAAACAAAAGCATGTTTGTTTGCAAACTTATGATTTGAATATGATTTGCAGTAAAATTATTCAATTTAGAAAAACCTCATGACTTACTGCCTGAACGTCCGCTACTGAAGCGAGAGAGAGAGAGAGAGAGAGAGATGCTGAAAATAAAGTCCACATTCTCGGTTGTCCGTGGCCGACCTTGAGACAGTGCCAGTCGTTGAGATTATCACATCACCACTGTAATTGCTCACCTTGAGTCGCAGACCCCCTTGTCCTTTCTTCAACTCGATCCCCGCCTCACAAAAAGGCGTTTGTTGCCGTTAAAGTGCGGCCCTCTGTTTTCTGTACCTGCTGCCCCAACAGAGACCTGGCAGTCACACTGCTGCCTGTGTGTTGTTTGGACCTCAAACTAAAGGCCCATTGATTCTCTTAAAGGGGCATTTCCTAATAGGTCAAAAGAAAGCTGAATAAAGTAGGAATACAGTTCACAAATAATGTCAAGGACTTGACTGCTTACAGTCTTTTTAAAATTCTATAGGTCGATAAAGTCGACATTAAAACCAGTGAGCAGCCCTGCGGTGTTTTCTCGGCTTTCAGACCATCACCTTGAGCAATGTTAGTGGATCCGTGAAAACACGCTCATCCAAATCCACACTGCACAGTGAAGATTTCGACAGGCTTTTCGCTTAGAAGCGGATGTCAAGAGATTGTGCATAAGCCCCGTCCTAACAACACTGCGATACAGCAGCAAGGAGAGCCGGCGGGTGTTGAAGAGTTGGAAGGGGTGCAGCCCCCTCTGGTCCTGTCAGCTGTGCAGTCAGTGTCAGCCGTGGCTTCAGATCTCCATCCGCCGTGCGCCCGGACCTAATTGGGCCCTCACACTTGCCAGATGAATTTGTCAGGTTGCTGCGAAATGAGCGACTCTGCCAAATGAAGACGTGCATCACTCTTGTCCCCCCCCCAGCCGCTGTGATTATTATGGGATGACAGCATCCTCAAGCTCTGAAACAGACAAACTACTTTTGCTTGTGTTCCTGGAATGTGTCATATAAGGCAAAGCGGCAGCACATTACCGTGATCGCGTTGCGCTCAGTAATTGCATCTGCTGGGATTCCGTGTGAAACATGCGCGGCAGTAACCAAGCGTTGTCTATTTATACACACTTTAAGTAAGGGCTTATTATTCTTACACTCAGCCTAACAATGTTGTTCCATTAATTTCCAGCAGCAAGCGGGATGAGCGTCTGAGTCAATCCCCTTATCAGCTACTTTTCTGATCTGGCGTTAAGCAGAGCGCACACTTGAGCTGCTCTGCGGCACCAAATTCCCTTCGTCTGTCGGAGGGGGCGGCCCAGGTTGACTATCTCGCGCGGTGAAGGAAGCACGCCTGGTCACCCACGAGCTCAGCCGCCACGCCTTGTCAACCCCCATCACCTCGGCTCTCTCCGTGTGACTGTGCAGATGTCTTCCTCGGGTTGCTTGAGGGTGGGATGACTCAGCTCCAGCTCAGCGCCTCACTGACTCTGGGCTTCAGCTCTCTCCTCAGTAACCCACGGCAACACCGACGCGGCCTGGCGGAACCGGGGCAGCGGAACCCGCTGTGCTGGACCCTTGAACGTGGCGGTTCCCGACGTTATTGCGGTGTGACTCACCGCTGCGGCACCACGGGAATGGCTCCAGCATCCCTCCAGCAAGAATAATAGACCACCGTTGAATAGAAAAACAACGGGGCTGCTGTGGATCTGTGAAAGAAAAACTGCACTAGAATTGTTGATGATCGAGATCAATCTTTCCAGTTGGGAGTTTGTGTTCACGCCACTTTGATTTGGAGTAGTGGAGGCTTGTTTTTTTACTTCCCTCATCGTTACGGCTTCTAGTGGGAAGTAGCGTGCGTGATGCTCAGGTGTTACAGCTGACAGTTTGGAGGGAGGATGGTCATGTCAGGCGATTATCGTGTCATTTCATTCACTTACTGCTATTGGGATCCTTCCACGCAGATGGTTTCAGTTTCCGTCCCTCAAACGTCTGCCTCCATTCAAATGTAATAGAGGTGCGGGGAATTTTGTTAGCGGTGCTCACAGAATTGAATAAATGTCTCAGTTACTCGGGAAAATCCACAGACCTCACTGAGAGACATTTTCTTTGGAAGTGTTTTCCACTAAAGACAGAATCCCTTTCAGCTTTAGAGGATGATGGACCAAACCTGAGCACATAAAACAACTATCTTCATGGCAAGAGGCCTCTACGGGGAAGTAAGAAAATATGTTTTTTAGACACGACTGAACTGACCCTTTAGGTGAAAGCAACCACATTCAAGTTGAACTGAAGTTTTTCTT